GAAGGGTGTAAGTTTTTATTATCATGGTGAAGCGTAGCGCTAATTAAACATGGCGAAGGCCCTTTTCCAATGTTACAGTTGATTTTTTATTAACTGTTAACAAATAACTAGACTCTTTTCTTATTATATATAGTTTTGTGATAAGAGCAAATCACGAATGGAACTCTGTGAAGCAGGGATTCTTTGTATCCTAAAAAGGCTATAAGGGCAATGAGTATAACGTTCTTTATCAGTAGTTTTATCAAAATTTATATGTCATGGGGACTTGGAATTCCCAGATCGTCAAGATCGTTAACTTTTTTTACTTCGCAGAATACGATTGTTGAATTTAAGGAGAGTTAATTTTATCAGAAAAATAACAAAATAGACCCAGTATTTGGAACTTATAGCCGAGCAGAGTTGCTTTATTCTGCTTTATTCTGTTATTTATTTACTAATCATATACTTTTTTTTCTAGTAGGTTTTTAGATCTAATAAATAGTTGGTATAAAAAGAAGCAAGTTCTCCCAATAAGATAAGTTAGCAATAACGTTATTTTTTTGCTCTTATATATTTTTGAAAAAAAGTTTAATATAAATTTTATTCTAAGGTAATGTTTTATATGAGGTTGTGATATTTATAGCAAAAACTATGAAAGCGAAACTTATTAAAATTTTATATTTAGAAAAAATAGCCACACATCCTGATAAATTTGATACTATGCTTGAATTTTCATCCCATAAATATCATGAAGTAGTTAAGTGAGGCTATATATACGAAGAAACAAAAGCAAAGATTGAATCACACTTTAAAATTCCAGTCAAAAGAATTGCTTACATACGAGATATTAAACCAGGAGAAAAATTATCTAAAATTTTTAAAAAACCTAAAGATCTTGATAATGCAGTATTTATTATAAATCCAAAATAGTAAAAATAAATATTTTTTTATTTGTATATTGTTGTTCTGGCAATAATTTTTATGAAATAAAGAGAAGGGTTTCGTGTCTCGTCATTTTTTTTACGTGATTTTTACAATGCAATTTGCGATTATTAATTAGTAGAGACTGTTAATCTATACTATTACAGTTACTATTGGGGTTCTAGTACAAGGTTTCCAATATTTAGACAATCACATATTAATATGTACTAATTATAGAATCAGAATTTTTATAAGTTCTTTTCTTGCTACTTAAATCATAATAATAACCTCTATCAGATTTTATTAAATTCATCATATTCATTATATCTACCGCACCCACTATATCCATCATCATCCTATTCATCTGGCATCTCTTCTTCAAAATCATTGTTGTGACTATGGTCACTATCATTGTGTGAAAGCACCTAGTTCGAAGAACTTCTTTGGCTCAGCTCTACTTTATCTGATAGTAAAGTAACCTCTTCATCAAAATACACATCATCATCAAATTCTTCATCAAAATATATATAATCATAGTTGATATTGATCTCTGCCTTAGCTAGTGTGGATGATGAATCTTCAGGTATGGGTAAAATTTTTCTGAGAAGGGCCAAAATTTCAGTATTTTCAAACAAAATTTGATGTCCTACATTATCTGTATCGATGTTCTGACAAGAATAATTTATAATCTCTTGAATTTGATCATTAGTAAGCTTTAAAATAGAATTCACACTATATAATTTAATGTATTTGATTTTATCATGGCCTATTTTTTCGAATAATATATAAATTTTCTCAGCTCTTTGAGTTGTTTTGTGCAAAGCATCCTGCAATATTTCTAGAAGATGTAAACCCAATTCTTGAGATCTTTTTTTATGGATAATAGAAAGCTGGTATGTAATAGAATCATAAAGTAAGCTTCTTGCTTTCTTTTTACCAATTTTACCTCTGCTATTTTTAATAATCTTATTGAACTGAACCCTGAAATCCTTTTCATAGATGGACCAACATAAGATTTCTTCTTGGTTAGCTCTATTTGCACTATCTTTAGCATCAAAAGCTTTATCACATAACTGAGCTAGATGTTGCGATGCTTTGTCAATGTTAGATTTTCCGGAACCACCAGTCTCAGAAATTCCAATCGTATGGTTTTGAATTATATTTGATTCTTGTAGAGACAGCTTTGGAGTAAATAATTTTTGGATCAACCCCTGTCTGCCTTTTACACTCAAAGAAGATTTAGTATTCTAAGAAGTTATGATTTTCTCTTGAACTTAAAATTTCTTCTCTCTAATACTCTGAATTATCTCTTTACTAACCTTTTCTTTATATGTTGAACCTAGAAAATCGTCATCTTCTAATGATTTAGGCCCTACAAGAATAGGAAATGTAAGATATTGGTTTTTCGATTTCTGGCATATATTGAAGTTAGATACATCATCAGAATTTGAAGTATTATCAGATATATTAGATGCTGGAGTATCATTAGAATTTTTTATTTTGGTAGAGATAGTATTAACTGAAGATTGATCGATTTTCTTGGCATCATCATCTGATTTAACAATAAAGTTATTCTTTTCATTGATTTGCGATTGCTTCTGTTTTAATTTCACAACTCTAGCTTTAAGCTCAGTATTTTCAACAGCAGTATCTTTATTATTCTGCTTCAGTTTCACAAATCTAGATTTATGTTCTTCCAAAGTTTGTTTTAATTTTACGTTCTTAGCTTTAAGTTTGATGTTTTCAGCCTCAACTTTAGAAAATTTTTTCCTAAGTTCTAGAATTTTGGCATTCTCTTTTCTAAGTTCAGTAATCTCGGATGCAAGCCTAGAGTTTAATTCTCTCAAGGTATTGATTGTTAATTG